ATGCTGTGTGTGCCTTGTAGCCGAGACTACAGCCAGAGAAGGCCAGGAAGCCTGACGGCTCCTGGTGTGTTATAGCAGATGCCGTGTGTGATTTCCCCTCCCTCGTATGAGCAGTGCCTTCGGCAGCAGATTTGGTGGCTCATCTGCTGGTACCAATAATTGTCTTTTGCACTTGGTTGGTGCCCTGCCTGGACTTATTTGTGTTCTGTTGTATTTTGTTATATTGTATTTTGTTATATTTGATGTATTTGCTTTTGTGGGCCATGGCTGCATTGTTTGTTTGCTTAGAAAATTGTATATGTATGTATAGACTGTATGGCAGAAAACCCTGAGGGGGTGGACTGTAGGGTAAAGAAAATATCAGGCTTTTCTGCCCTTCCGCCATCAGGATAGATGATGGATCCTTGTCCTGAATGCATGCCTGATGGTGGGCACCTGGAATAGGGTGTGGGCATAGGTAGATGGGATTCAGCTGAGCTAAGACTGTGCTTTTAAGGGCGGCGTCACGGGGGGGACGCCAGCAGCCCCAGCCAGCAGCAGCAGAACCAAAAGAGAAGCCGAGAAGCAGCAGAACGAACGCTAGAGAGCCCAGATAGAGTGAGGACTTGCTGGGGGCTGGGAGGCCTGCCAGCCTCCCAGCCCCCCAGCCAGCACCCCTGCCTGCCATATGCCTGGTGAACCCCAAATAAAAAACCTGCAAAACTACTGAGGACTCTGACTCCTCCTTTACCCGATCTGCATGGGATCAGAAAACCTGCATTGTGTCCGGTCCTGCCCCTTACACTATCCTTGACACAACTCACATTAACCACTTGCCCTTGGGAGTGTGGTGTCACTACCACACCCCTGCTGCTCACTCACACTTCTGCAGGAAGCATACCATCACCCCCAGATCCCAGTCCTTACTGCCTGCAATCATCTCTGCAAATCACTGCCAGTGATATTTCTAAAAAAGATTTCAGGTCATTCCACTGCTCATTTTATTCATTCGACAACTATTTATTACGCACACCTCTAAGTGTCAAGCACTCTCAGCTAAGTGGGAATGGACAGGAAACAAAGAATTTCCAACCTTGGGGAGTTTACTGTTCAAAACCATTTGTTGTTTTGAGGGAAAAAAATGAACTTCTTAACTGTGGCTTTGGGGGAAGGAGTCTAGACAATCTAGAGAGGGCAGTTTCATTTATAGCCTTTTGTAACACATAGCAAAAATCTTCTGTATTTATAATATGCTATTATTCATTTTTTTACTTTCTGCTCTCCTACAGCTTTCCTTTCCTCTTCTCTAAAACAGAGGTCCCTCTTTCCTGGGGCTCCATCATTGTATTTGCCACACTGGATTCTCTTTGTTATTTACAAGTCTGTCTCCCCCTTATATGCTGAGTCCTCTGAGGGCAGGCACGCACTTTATTAATCTTTGCAAGGCTGGTGCCTAGCACTACTTGCTCCATAAATATCAGTGGAATAAATGACTCTATAAAATTAAATGCCCACATACATATAGATTTCGGACACATTTTTAAGGCCAAGAGGGTTCTCTGATATTTCGTATGGTTCCCCAGGTAATGATTTGAGATTTGACCTTAAGTCAGATTAAGGGGAAAGTGTGTTTTCTCTAGGGCACCGTCATTCTCTTAGGAAAGGGCAGCTTGCCCTTGAGTGCCACCTTCTGGCCAACAAGAGTAAAGCTCTTTGGTCAGGCAAAAAATGTAGTACCGTTGAGCAATGCTGAAATGAGAATAGTGAAAATAACGAGCAGCTAAACTGTTGATTTATGGCTCTGATAACTGTATGGAGGTAAAATACAAAATTGAACATGCACTGTGGTTGCAGCTATAAAAAATATATCACGAGAGGTAGTTGCATTAGGATTCGGAATAATAGGACTCGGCACTCTATTCCCAGGTTATTTTAATGTTGTGAGAGGGGATCATGTTAATAAAATTCTAAATGGCAGTTCAAGTTAGGAAAGTGAATTCAGAACAACACCCTCACTTCTCCAATGATGACAAGTTTTTGAACCTGGGCCATCTCTGGCCTCTCTCTCCTCAGTTCTTGGGTAAGTCAAGTCTTGCTAGCGTTTCTTTCAGCTGGTTATTCCCACTCATGCAGTGAGGGGCCCAGATTCAGTTCACAAGTTGCCTGCCTCAGTGCAAGGGAGTTCCATGTGGTTAATGAAGACTTATAGATGTACTCACTCAGCAAATATTTATTATGTACTCGCCTTATGTGTCAGGCACTGCATATAAGCTGGCTCCTCACCAATTCCAAATATGGAAAAATCTTATTTGAACAAACTGGGAGAAAACCAAGCCTGAATTACTGAAAAATCCCCAAATAGTTGAACAGCAGGAAGAGGAAACTCATTTATCTCTGCCAAGTCTTTCATGAGAGCTAGGCTACGGCTGAAAAAATGGAATCTACAGAGACCTATTTTGATGATATAGAATGCTGGGTAAATTGCACATCAAATATCTTCACATTCACAAATACCCAGTGTCTGAAAGCAATATGCTCTTTTAAGCAGTTCGTACTAGTTCGGTTCAGTCCTGCTAACACAATAACACAAATAGTTGCTTACACTGTTTGTTTAGTTACTCAAAAAACCCCAGGAAATCTTAGCATGCTTTCTGTTAATTTATTACACAATTTTGAATTAGTATGTTGCAGGTGAAGCATGAATCAGTAAGTCCAGGTGAAACAATGTTTACTGCTGACATCAGCCCTCTGAACTAGAACTTTTGTACTCTGGCTATCATGCTGCCACACACCAGTTGTGGAACTTGGGTGTTACACTGCCTTTAGTGTCTATTTCTTCACCTCAAAAATGGTGATCAGAAACGACATCTGATCCAGGAATGCTGAGAGGATTAAATGAGGCAAAGTACATACACGATGCTAAGCATAGGACTGGCACATAGTCAGTGGTCAGTAAATTACAATTATTATTTCATTCAAGACCTGTGCTCCTAACCTGGACAGCCTGTGGGAGTTGCTTTCTCTTCTAAACACTTTTTAAACCTTATAGTCTACTTCATTTATTTGCTACTTAGTTCATTTATTTACTAACATCTATGTATTGTTCCCCAAACTATTAAGGGACTACATCTTATGTTCCCATTGTAATAGCTAGCATGGTGCTTCAGATCCAGCAGAGTTAAAGAATTCAGTCACTCAAGGTAGCAGGGAGGTGGAGGGAGGCCGGGTAGGGGCCAGGCAGCTGGGTTAGGGTTAGGGTTGTATAGCCCAGAAAACAGCAAGGGCAGGGAGAGACTGGTGCAGAGACCCCAAGCAGTCAGACGACAGAACTGATAAGCTTTGTCACTTGTCTCAAGGAACAGGTGGCCTCAGGGACCGAGGAGTGAGGAGTTCGCTGGGAGCTGTGGTCTGAGAGAAGTCCTTTATATGCCGATGGCCTGAAGTCATCTGCTGAGTTTCACCTCTGAAAACACTTTCCTGGGACCTAGGGGGCCTAGTTATCATCCTTGGAGCTGAAGTCATGGTTCAGCTAGCTCTTTAAAAACAGTGAGCCTCACAGTGCTGAGACTTTACCCCTTGTACCACCAGGGAGGCTTCTGGTCCACACTCCAGCTCTTGTATGCATAACTTAAAAAATCTTAAAAAAAAAAAATAAAAACAGTGAGTCTCAGATCCCAGCTTGGAGGAAGAAAAAGAAGGGGTCCCAACTGACTCGTGTGTGAGTTTTGAGGACTCTCATTGGAGGCTAATCACAACCCCAGGGTACATGCAGTTACACTCGGCCTTCTCCAAGATGGATCTGTCCTCCAGCACTATCCTGTGTCAGCTTCTCGAGTGACTTCTCCTTATCCTCTGGGGTATATTAATACATATAGAAAAAAATTAACAGAGTGGATCTAGCTAGAGATTTGGTCCCTACCCTCTGAAATACTCTAATCCCAGCTGAAGGACTTTCAAATCAAACCACTCTTTCAAAATGTTTTCTTTGGCAAGATAGGCAGGACATGCCCAAATGGCTGTAATATCTGCCTAAATATGAGCATTCAGACTGAGTCAGGCTTTTATTTGAACAGGTGAACTTTACACATTGTGGATTTACCCAACCCCAAAGGAACAGGCACTAATTGTGCCTTTCCTCCTTGTCCTAGTTCAGAGGAGATGCAGATAGGGTGATAAGGAGAGGATCCTGCCAGAACAAGGTCCCAATCTATATTGGTGCCCGTACAGATGCCTTAGAGAGACGCAATCCTTGCCCTGAAGGAGTGTGCTTTATTAGCAGTCATAAGAATATAGCAATAAGAGTACAGGAATACAATTCGGGGTATACAGCAACAGAAGGAAGTGCCACAGAGGCGCTAACATGAGACTGGGAATGAGGCAGGGTCCATTAATACAAGAGAGACGCTCGCTATTTACCATGCGGGGGCGTGCGAGCGGGTTTTTAGCTGGGATAATAGCTGCGTGGCCAAATACTGAGAAAAGTTAATCTGGCAGAGGAGTCAGATGGTCTGGGGGAGGGGAAGGGATTGGGTTTACCCCAGAAGAAGTGAGGGTGTGGGTGTGCACAGTCCTGGCAGAATCTGAGACTTGATATGGGGAAATGAATTCACATCTCTGAGAATCAGACAAGCCAGTGCCCTCGCAGGCCCCTCTTCCTGTGACAGATCCAACCAAGGACTCCTCCCCAACCCACCCCTCACTTTCACACAAGATGGGGCTATCTCAGTCACAGCCCCTCCTCCCCAGGAATCAGTGAATGGGGTAGAAAGACAAAAAAAAAAAAAAAAACCCTCACATTCTGAACGTAAAGATGCCAACACAGGAAAAAATTGAACAAAGGCAATATGAACCATCACAAAATAACTTGAGGCGGTTAAAAAGAAAAATAATTAAATCGCTACTTATCACATCATCTGAAACCACTAGACTGCTTCAAATAAAACACACTTGCGCCCAAAACACAAGCCTCTTCCCATTTCTGACATTTAATACATTAAGCCACGTAAACAGTGACAACTTACTATCCAGGAGGCTCTGAAGAAATTTCCGGAGCGGGGCTGACAGCGGAGCTCTGTAAATGTCAAGAAAAAACAAAACAAGAGTGTAGATGATTTATTTTGACTTAGATGTTTTAAGCCCAGGGGCAAAGAAAGTCTTCCCTCTCTATTCCCACTTTAGGTGAGGCCTCTGGGAGGCAGGGCTCTGTCTTTGGGAGGAGGGTGTCAGGCCAGGGTCTCTCTCCTTCTCTGGTCTTTTGCCTTCTGGCGGCTGCAGCCACGTGGGGCAGGGGTGGGGGTGGTGGTCAAGAGGTGGCTTCCCTGCTTTAGGGATGGATCTTCCATCTCCGGCCCCTGGCGGCCGGCCCTCCATTTGACAACATGCATTCGAAATGAGGGTAGCACAACACCCCAGCCCTCAAGCCCCACTGCCAAGCCCACCACAGACTCCTTCATGCACCCCAGAAGCCACATCCAGAGAAAGGGTCACCCAACACTTTCGGTACAGATGTACAAAAATGCACTTTGAGAGCCCATTCTCTGTTGAGATCATTTGCTTATCCTTGCAGTTTTAAAAGTATGGAAATGGGAAGAAATTCAGTTTCACACACCTATTACTGATCATTTCAGTCTGAGTCGGGGAACATAAAATTACAGGCCACTCCACAAAGGGAAGAAAACAATGAGCCAAGGGGCACATGCAGAGGAAAAACAACCTAGCTATGCAGCTAAGGGTGTCTGTTGTTTTAGAAATAAAAAGGCAAAGGGTTCAATATATTTGTTTTAAAAATAATGTGGTAGTTGAATATATCAATGTAAAAGTTAACTTTATGGACACTCCTAGCTCTAATAATGACCACTTGAAGGAAAATGAGCTCAGTGGAGAAGAGCTACTTGGAGGGGAAGGAGGAAAAAAAATACCAGTCAAAGAAAAGGAAGAGATTGTGAAAGTGGGGGAAGGAGATGACAGGGAGGGGAGGCAGCCATCATTTGGGGCTCCGCTACCAGACACCCTGCCTGCCTGCTGAACCGCTTCCCCTCAACCTGCTGTCTCCTTTCATTTCTGAGGGCCCCTCTGTCCAGGTCCCTCCTCTCCTCCTGGGGGCCCTGCTCTTACCTCAGTATTCTTCCTCACAGCCCTGTGCCCTACAGGTCTCTCCGCTCTTGCTGACCCTTGGCTCCAGCTGGAAGATGATGCTCTGGGCCCCACCTGGAAACATCTTTGCTGGACGCTAATGAGCTTGCTGGGAACACCCACTTCCTGCCTTCCACCACCCCGTCTTCAACCAGGGCTGTGCCAGAGGTGGGGGTGGAGGGCCTGATTCTTCTTCCCACACTCCAGCTCCCACCCAGCAACCTCCAACATTTTTAGAAGCCTGTCTGTTACCAAATGCACTGATTTTGCCTCAGAGTTTATTTCTGGGGGCTTCTCTGGAGGAAGTTTTTCTGTCTTTCTCCTCTCCTTCCGTCACCCCCATTTCCTCCTCCCTCCCTGCACTGTCCTTGCTCTGACACCCCTTTCCTGTTCAGTGTCACCCCACATCCCCAGTGGTTGTTGATCTCTCATCCCTTTTGCTCAACAGGATCCTCCTTCACTCATCTACTCCCAGGGCTTCCCCCTCGCTGCTCCAGCAGACTCTGCAAGCCCCTCTCTCGTTCGCTGTTCCCGTAGGTTTCTAAGTCTGTTGGATATTCCCTGTTTGATACCCAACACCTCAAAAGTCAACGAGCCAAAATGAATCCCAGCTTACCTCAACATCGATTTTCTCCCCATCCTTCTTACGAAGCCCCTATTCTTTTAGCTGCCTGACCAAATCCTCGAGGTACCCCTCAACTTTTTTGTTCTTCATGCCAATTAAAATTCCCACTGTTTTCCTATGTGACCTCTACCCTCCCCCGCCCCCCATGCTGGTGGCACGTGAGCACAGGGCTCACCTCTCCACACCTGGGCTGCCAGACCCAGCCTCGAGCCTGCCCTCACCCTCCAGCGGGAGGTGCTCCCTTCGCTTCATCCTTGGCTTGAGAGCAAAGCCATCCCTTGAGTCATACTTTTAGAGCCTCAGGTCAACTTTTTTTCCTAAACCCACCAAATTATCTGTATTATTACCTCCCCAAATGATCTGTAACAGCTAAGCTTGTCTCCTTTATCCCTTTAATGCATCCTACCCATGCTCACTCGTGGCTCTTCACCATGCCTCGAAGGGATGCCTCCTCCCTAGGTTCCACCTGTCCTTTCTCGGCTCCACTTGTGAGCAGCTTTCCCTGATTTTCCACCAGAGTTCTCTCTCTGCTGGCACTCGGGGCAGATTGCATTATCATTTAGCATATCATTAGCACATATTCATTTAGCTCTTACAGGCACGGCTGGAGAGCTTTATTTATGTGTGAGTGAGCAGTCATGGGCATGAAGGCAAAATCCACTTAAAAATCTCCCTCAGCACCTGTCAGACTAACGGGCAGCAGGTAACAGGACAATGTGAAGATTCATTTGAGCACCAGATACTTCTTTACGCCTGCCGTGTCCTGGGCAAAGCTCTGGGTACTGGAAGCAGTCTCGGCCCCTGGGGATTTGCAGTTAATGCAGTAGCTCCCTAGCTGCCTTCCAGACCCGCCCTATTTGAGACTGCTTTGAAAAGTGCCCCTTCCCGTTTGTTTTTTGACTCATCTCTAATCTCAGCGTCCCCGTCCTGTCCTGCCTGAGCTTCATTCAGTACCTACCTGCAGCCCTCTCCTCTCACTCAGAGCTAGCACAGCCACAGCTGGTTCCACTCTTTCCTGGGTGCCCACCTTCCCCACCCATCACCTGTCTGCCTCTATTGGGTGCACTCTGCTTACCTTTTTGTGCTTCCTCCCATTTCTGAAGGGATCCTGGGCCTAACTGCTGACCTCTGATGGCTACCTCATCCTTCAGGAACTCTGGTTTCTCCACTCTCCTCCCCCAATCTGCTTGCAGTTTGCTGGAGTCTGACTTTCTCATCCAGTCCTCAAAGGCTGCTGCCAGCATGCCCTGGTTTAGTTGTCCCTCCCCTGGTTTGAGTCTCTAGCACCAAAATGACTTTGTATCCAACCCTCCTTGTCATAGTTCTACTTAAAAATCCCATGATTAATATTTTCCACTTTTCCTGCCAGTCTGTGGACCTTCCTGGCCTCTGCAGCAGCGTCTATATTCCTTTTTTATTTTCTATAAAAATACCCTTTCCTTAGAAGTAGCTCCTTTGTTTTGTCAGGGAGCCCTAGGAAGCATTTATCTAAACATTTAGTATTTTTTTTCCCCCTTAGAAACCCATTTACCTTGGACTCTCTTTCTTTCTTTCTGATATAGCCTTTAAAAACCACACGGATGTAGCACCCTTTAAAAATAACAGTGCAGGTTGAGTTTCAAATGCTTGTTTGTGGCCAGATCATCTGGCCTCTGGAGTGCATTTTTTTTTTTCATTGAGAACTTTCTGACCTTTCAAATTACAAATACTATGACTCTGCCAGTGCCAGGGACGCAGCGGCACTCCCAGCACCGCTGCTGCGCTTTGAAAATGATCTCTGAGGTTGGTATCTCCCAGGGCTGCAAAGGCAACAAGGAAATTGCCCCAAAAATGGCTCTTTGAAAATTCAGAGAAGGTATACAGGGGCAAAGGAAGGGAACTTAAAAGGATCACCCCTGAAAGCAGAGGAAGAGAAAGGAGGACAGGGGAGGAGTTTAAAGCACCAGCCACCCCCCATGTGTTTGACAAATCCCCCTTTAGGAAGATGCCAAGCTCGAGATCCAGGCAAAAATGAAGCTGTGGGGAGAGGAAGGTGAAGCAGGAGTCAGAAAGCCATGCAGATTCAGAATAACCAGCATAACCATTCATTGCCTCGACTACGTAGAAAACCATAGAACCAAGAAGAAAACAAAACAGCTGGAAAAGAAACGGATGGCACGAGAAAAATCGGGAAATACCTGTGACAGGTCTGCCCTGGGTGCTTTATTAAGCGTCTCCATTTTTCCTAAATCTGCCTCTAACTCTGTTTGGTAGAGGTTGAGATCTTTTTCTAGATTAGTCTGGTTCAAGAAAGAAAAGATGGGAAAGCATGTTTTAGTTTAGAGGAAAGGAAGAGGAATGGAAGGTTAAGTTTGAAACATGAATCTGTTTTAGTGTTAAACTTTACTAAGGCAGAGATGGCATGACTAAAACACAAGAACTCACTAGAAATCAGTTAAGGACAGGAAAACGGAATGCAACATTAGGCATAGAAAATATAATCCCGAAGAAACCAGAGCTCCAAACTCTATTCTACTTGCTAAAGAGAAGAACTACAGATACCATAAAACCTACCTTTCAGGAAACCCCTATTTTTCACTCATTTCAGAAAATGGTGACTGCGACAAATACTACATCAGGAGAATAAACAATTGCTTTAAAAACCTCTAAACATTAGTATAAGCCTTAGAGTCTTTGTAACATGTTTTATCACCAAGCCAAAAAAAAAAAAATAGTTATCAAGTTAAAAAAAAAGTAGTTTAAGAAAATAAAAGGAAAAAAGCCCCACGACACACTCGCACTAACCAGGCTAGGAGCACACACACAGCACGGAGGCCGCACGGCAGAATTACCTTTCTATCCTCTCTAGGAAGGATAGAGCAGTCTCCAGGAGTATAATCCCATATCTTTTTGGGAGGCTGACGGGAAGCAGAGGAGGAAATGAAGAAATGAGCATAAAGACATAAGACAAACATGGAGACTGGCTCAAACAAAGAGGGGCACACTAGGAGAACTGTCTCAACACAGAAAGGTGAACTCAAAGTCAAGGATGGGGCTCTGCCTTCTAAGGAGGCCACCTAGGGACGCTGGCTGTCTGGAGAGCCCTGCAGAAATTTGGGGACTGCACACATTAACTGGGAAGTTTATTTCTATGTCTCAAGAGTAAAATCATCATTGGAGTCCCAATACTGAAAACTTAAAAAAAAAAAAGAAGAAGAAGAAGAAATAAGAGAAAAAGCATTAACATCATTGAAATAAAAATAGAAACTTTCAAATTCCTCATCGTTCTTTTCAAACTAAGATTGACCCTGGAGATGCTACATTTTTGAAGCAGACATTCCCCTTGTAAAATTCATTATGTGTTAATAAATGTGTGATGTAGAGATTTAGGGTAGATCTAAATGTGCTTTCTGTGGTTTGTGGCAATGAACTCCATGAACAAATGGATGTTAAGTACAGCACTATATAACAATTTCACTAGTTAATTCTCAAAATCTCCTTTTAACAGTTTAATGGACTTCGATAATACTGCTAGTGATAGAGCATATATACCTCGCTTTTCCCTTAGGAAGAAGAGTTTACACTTTGAATTTAAGCAGTAGGTATAAGGGTATCATTTTTTCTTCTTTAACTTTTCATGTTGCAATTAGAGCTACATTCCTTAGACAGAAGTCTGCAGGGAGAACTGTAAGTTTAACGAGGGAGGAGTTCAGAGGATAGGACATTCAGAAGTTACAAGCCACTTCTAAATCTGGACCCTCTCATAGAGCGAAACTCCTGGCTTTTTTAAAAATTATTGAATTAATGACATTTTCCTCCTGATATTTCATTAACTATCCCACCTAGGTATTATTTTATTTTATTTTTTTCCTGAGTGGACCTTCTTGCTCTACCTACTTCAACTTGACATGTCTTATATAGTGACCTCAGAGGAGATGAAATCATGAATAACTTGAATTCCATGCAAATTTCATTATAACCAATTCAATGGAAGCATTCAAACTGGTTTGCATTGTGACATATTGCTTGAGCTCACTTAGAGAAATCACATCAATTTCTGTAGAGGTGAGGGGCAGAGGGAGAGCACCAAAGTGCTTCTCCACTGCTAGACCCAGGTCAGTGAGGTGATCTCTGTAGGTGTGTATTTGCAAAGTAAGTGCTACTAACAATTATCGTTTTTCTTCATGCACTTAATACACTTAGATTATTCATCTAGAGAAGCAGACTTAAAAAAATATCACTTAGGTACCCCCTACACATTTTCTTATTTTCTGCAAAAAATAGGACAATGCTTATACATTGTATTGGTTTTAAATAATCTTCCCTTAAATAGGGTCACTGGAGTCTTGAATTATTTGATATTCTACAACAATTTGCTAGAGCTAAAGGCAATTGCAAGCAGTATCTTGCTAAAATAGCAAGGGTGGAGGAAGAAAGGTGTTCTAGTGGGTGTTCTAGTGAAGTCTAGAAGGCTTCACTCACTCAGGGGAATTGGGTCCTGAGTCAGTGTGGAAGGGAAGTAGAAGTGATGATCCACACGATGTGGTAAGAGCTTTACTTTTACTCTGCTTCTGAATGACTGAAAAATGTTCCAAAACAACGTCCATGGTTCATACCACTTTTATTTACGTCTCTTATGGGATCCAGAGTAATTGGGGTAGGACAGAAGTGAGGAAATTTCTCACTACCATATCTTCTCTCCAGTTTCTGGAAGTCACATCTGCTCCTCAGCTTGGTTCAACTCGATACCAAGCAGGCTGGCTTGATCCATAAGGAACAGTCTCTCTTAAAACTGTTCCTCAGAATGTGCACCTTGAGCAAGTAATTTTGACAACTTTCACCAGTGTTATCTTTGATCACTTTAAAGGGTCTTACAAAATGAAGTAGTCTTATTTAAGGAGGACTCTTGTGCCCTTGCAAGAAACGTATGGACCATGTAGAAAAGAGGTCTTTAAATAATTAAGCGGCAGTTAGAGCAATAGGGCAGGCATACAAATCATGGGAAGGTCCCAATATCCAAATAGACTGTTCTCAACATTAGTTTGGATGGGTGCTCAAACCAGTTTCCAGTAGAAATAGGTTAATTAGCCAAGCTATCCACATAAAGTATAATTTAATGTATGCAGGGACTGAAATACTATGTACTGCTAACAAAAATAGTGTTCTTTGTAATAATATATTTAGAAAAACAAACCAATCACAACTAGAAAAAAAATGCTTCACAACTTTTTTTAAAAGCTAATTTTTGCAGGTAAAATTAATTTAATATTTGGCAAATGAAGAAGTGGCTAGAAAATTGTGGATTCTGCAAGGGATTTTAAAAACCACTGGCACAGACTCTATCACATGTAATTTAAAGTTCAAATTTTAGTTTTCCTTGATGAAAATATGGCATTATTATTATTACATATACCAATCCTGCTTTTTGTTGGGAGGGGGGGCGGGCAGCGTGGGGAGGAAACTTCACATATCAAAAAAAATTTTTCTGCCAGATAATTAAGCAAGTTTTTAGAAAAAGAAGAAAAGGAAAAGGGTTAGGATACTGTGGAATATTTGCCTATATCTGAATGGTGAATAGCAGAGAAGAAAGAGGAGAAAGAAGTGCAGTGTAGGCTACAGCTTTGGAAAGAGAGCGCCAGACCTTGGGCAGACGCTTCTCTCACTGGTCAGTAGGTGGCGCTGTTCACCCAGGAAAGCTTAGCAGCTATGCCGAGAGAAGGTGTGAGGAACACCTGTTTCTAACAAGTAGGATGCTCCAAAGTCAGGTGCTGCTAACTCAGAAGATGCCTGAATTCTCAAACAAGGCTCAGCATCAGCAAATCAAATTAGAAGTTCTAGAGAACCTGCTTAATTTCTTTTTGTCCTCGACTTAATGAAAAATACACATCATGGAATTTAACATTTTACTCAATGAATAAATTAACAACTTTCTGCAAATATAACTATCATCCCAAACCACAGTGATTCAAGAGCTGATTCAATGTTTAAAGTCTCAAACACCTAATAGAAAATTTTAATTCTCTCTGCACTTGTAACAATCTAAAGAGTTTAAAGTAAATGGAGCTTAAAAGTTAGTTTCCTGTCATCTCCAGTGGAAAAATGAGCTTGAGGGTCCTTTATGTTTTGTGTTCTTTTGGCTGCAGGGCTAAGAAAATCCTCCTTGAAGTGCTAAAAATCAGTTTGTACCAAATCCAGCTCAGACACATTATAGGGAATCTTCAGAATGTTTGGTTGAACACTAAAGTTGCTAGCGTTCTTAACTTTCATATCAAATTTTAGGAACAATTATCCTAACTCAGAGAACCCTTTCCCTACACAATGGGGTTGTATTCGTGGATCACATGTGCAGAGAGAGGCCCACTGGCCTACTTGGGCATTTCCCTTGCTTGTGTGCTTTTTAAAATGTCACTTTTGGCCATGACAATGCCTGTCTGCGGTGTGTAATGCATTTCCCTGCTTGTCTCATCAAGAAACTGGACCAACAGCTGAAAAAAGGCCATCCACAGACCGGTGATATTTACTGCTAGTGGCGGGAGGTGCAAAGATAAGTGACGATTCGTCATGTCTCTCTGGACTTTTCTGGCAACAAATACCCCCAGAGCTCATGCCCCTTTCTTGGTGAAGTAAAGCAATGGAAAGCTTACGGGTTGGAGTGGGAATAGATAATCCCATTACTGACCACGGACACGGCTGCTTTCCACTTCCTGAATTCCCTCCACAGAGGTGTGATTCTTTAGCAGCAACAATGCATCAACAGCATCATTTAAAAAGGTGTCTATAACCACTGAAGCTATTAACTTACCGGTTTCCCAAACTCCAATTCCGAAAAGAATTTATACCAAGGTTCATTCTTTAAATCTATCTCTTCTGGGCTTATATCCCGACTCTATAGGGGTTGGTGACAGGGAAATGGAAGAGAGAGAAGGATAACATTATGCAAAGATTACATAGGAACAGGCCAGTAGAGATGCAGAGGTTTCCCGGCTTATACAGCAACTGCACTCAGCAGCAGCAGCACCCCTCCATTCTGGCTGACAGCAGCAACAGCAAGGCGCTGAAACAGGTGGGAGAGGATGATATATAGAAACAAACTGAGGTGGGCGCAGTGAATGAATCTTTCTCAGTCCTCAGGCAGAAGGCAAAGGGACTGCACTTGGAGAACTCCACCACACTGCTGCCCTCCACAACGCGTCCAGTGTGGGCACAACATCCTTAATAATTGTCAGCACTGGGGGAGAAAGAAAAGCCTTATTTCCTCTTTACAAAAAACTATTAGTTACAAGCAAATCACTTGGTGAGCACACCAAACATTTAGCCGTCTGTGCCAGGTGAGTAGAGCAAACAATTTTTATGGACTAGTACGGTTTTAGTGCTTATTTGCAAGGCTGCCTTAAGGGTTTCAAAATAAATGCAAATATGGATACTTTATAGAAGCCAGTTTGTTAATACTGCATCTTTAATGGCACATGAGTAGGTGAGAAACCATGTCCCACACACAGTATAGTGAAAGATGACATAGGAAAAACAGAAGACACAAGTGAAAAAACATTTTAAACAAGCATCCGTGGGGATGAATACAGACAGAATATACTTAGTGTTCTAACAAATGTCAAAGAGCTGGGAGAAAATAAAGTAGGGGAAAAGCTGAACGAGACAGGTAACAGAACAATAGGGGGAAAAAACTTCTGGGTTATGTTACAAAAATAAATTAGATTTCTCCCTTTATATAACTCTAAGAGGTAGTTCACACAATCTGATCATTTGATTCCATGGGATTTCATATTTAATCAAATATTTATCAAGTTCTGGTACTTTGCTCTGTGGAATAACATGTATTTCTGGAAATAATTAGTTGGAAAGTGAATGCCTGGAAAGCAAATCAGGCTTCCCCTTAATACACTAGAGACATGTTCACATCAGATGAAAGTGTCAGTGGCTCACAGCTTAATTAAATTCATATACATGTACGTTTCAAAAACCTCGATAGTCATGAGAGACATGGTGATTTTCTGACATGAAATATAAAATGTACATATTTTCCACTGAGTAAAACAAGACATAAGGCATTTCACTCCCTCGGGCTACAACACAGGAGGAAGACAGCAAGTCCCGAGGCTGGGGTCACAGGCCATTTGCAGTTTGTAGAAATGGCTGTAAAATTTCTCAGTGACCTTTGCCAATCCTTTCTAAAATCCTTAGAAGACTCTTTGCCATTATTTCTACTTTTGCTTTGTTTTTTAAATTTTTTTGTGGGTAGAAGAACTGGGGTATAGGCCAGCGGTGCAGGGGATGAGAGGATTCACCAGAGACAGAGTGGGGAGCAGAACAGGTGGATCTACTGAAATACAATTGCTGAGCGGAGCAGCGGGTGAGAAAGGAGAGGTCTGCTTCACCATGTGGGTCAGCTCTCTGTCCGGGGACCAAACTCAGGCTGTAGCGGTGATAGCACTGAGACTTAGCCCCTAGGCCACCAGGGCAGTCCTCTACTTTTGCTTTAAATACAGGAGGATATGACAGAGAATTTCCCCTAATTGAAATTTACTGAACCTAAGTTAGTTGAAACCAGAGGGAAATGTATATTGAGTGTCCTTTGCACCCAGATTCAAACCTCCTCTGACTGTCTTTGGGGAGTTAGAGCTTAAGTCTTGAAGAAGGCTTGCTCCTTCTCCATGGAAGCAGAAATTATATAAAATAATGGATTCTGTATTTATTCAGAAAAAGGAGGTGCGATATCTTATAAGGACACAGCTATTCAGGAGAGCTAGTGTAGATACCAGAATGTCCTAGATCCTTATATGATGAGGCTCCACGAAACCTGTCATGTTTATTATTTTAAAAGACTATTTATAAATGCTCTCTGGGAATAAGTTAGGCTTTTTTAATTTTTCAGGAAACTGCCTGCCTGTTTTGGTATTCAATCCTGAAAGAATGAACCCATTTCAGCAAAGGTCGTTTGCACACTATTTTACTGCTAAGGTTAAAAGTGCACTAAGGATTCAATCCGAAGGTATGTCAACTAGTTTGGGCCCTGAATAGCAGCCTCAGTCCTGGAGCGGTCCAGAGACAAAGTGAAAAGGATAGTCACACAAAATCTGCATTTGATTCTACCATTCATAACTCAGCTGCAGATCCAGCTGTGGGAGGGACAAATGGAGAACAGCCTTCCTGACATGTGGCAGGGCCTCTGTGATGGCAGGCAAGGCAGGTTCCACAATGCCAAGCTAAGTCCTCTGCTACGTGTCCCAGCTGGACAAAAGTCTTGGGATGGGCAGGTGACTTGCCAGGAAAATATCTGTTCTAAGTTCTGCTGCTTGGACAGGAGCTAGAGACTAGCTTCCAATTTTAATTCAATAATCTGCATGGGGCATTGGATCTGCACAGCACTGCATAATGTTCGTATGTCTCATGCCCACATTATTGTATTGACCCTCTCAATACTTCAGCAAATTTGGCAGGCCAGATAAAACTTCTACTTTACTGATGAAAACAATGAGGTTCAGCTAGGTTGAATGGCCCGCTCCAAGAAACAACGCGGAGTCTGAATTTTATTCAAACTCAAATCTTTTGATTCCTAGTCCAATGCTTATTACATTATACTATATTTCACTGCTACTCTGCCTATGGAGTGGTAGACCCACTAACTTTGCAGATGAGTCCAAGCTAAAACAGGGGTGACCTAACTTGAGAAGCCAGGCAGGAATACAAAGTGACTATGGAGAGGGAAGAAACCAAGTGGGGTAAATCCCCTTGTTTCGTACATGTAAATATATATGGTATCCACTTTATTATTTGAATGCCTATCCTTTTCTCTCTAATCCTATGGGGACATGGACCCCAGCATCTGTCCAGGACTGGGAACATAAAAGTTATTCTCCGTATATTTGTTGAATTGAGCCAAAGAAGTTATTAGGGACTTTGGAGGGAAATACATGAACAAAGTTTGAAAAGGGCCATTCTGACCAAATAGGCACAGCCCAACAGATCTCTACTGCCAAGTCTGAAAGAGAAGGAAATGGATTCATGCTCTGATAAGAAGGGGACTAAGTCGTTATGAAGAACTCATACAAGCTTGCCAAATAGCTGAACAGGTCCTAAGGCTGTAAGTGTCCTGGGGGATTTGAAGGCAGTACAGTGTTTCATCCATCTGGGATGGTCCAGAGACAAAATGGGTCTAGGGCAGCCTGTAGTCTATATTCAGGCCTTCTCACAAGTAGACGTGCCCATTTACACAGCTGACATGACTCCTGTAAATTATCAAATAATGTTGACGATGATAATAAGCACATTGTTTTATTTTTTTCCAAAAGGAGTTGTGCATGTCTGAGAGCAGACTTAGATTCTACATCTGCCACTAGTTAGCGTAATTCTCCACAGTTAGCAGCAACAAAGTGTGTGTATGTGTGTGTGTGCACGTGCACACGCACGTGCATGTGTGTGTGGTGGCAGCAGTGGGAAGTCCTGAAATGCTGGCAGACCAGATACTGGATCCCAAAAGGCAAAACTCACACTGAAACTCACATGCCAACTTTTGCAATCATGTGGCAAAAATAGTAGGAAAAAAATATAAAGGACTAATTCAACTACTGTGAAGAATAGATCATGGAAAAAAACGGAGATTTCACTGAAATTTTTCTCTAAAATGAAAACTTTCTCTTTGGAATAACAGTGCTAAATTGGGTGAAAGGCCCTCAATTATTGGTTCTACTTCGGGCCTGGTACAGCACAGAGAGCTTCCTGTGTAGAACACCAGATGATGTCTGCTATCTCTGG